AAAAGCTCTTTCTAACACCCTCTTCTGGTGCCCTGCAGTTGCCAATGGAGTGTGGTCTCCCTCCCTAAATGCAATTTGGTCCTGTGGTCTTTGGCTGCGGTGCGTGGGTAGAACAGAACATGTAACTCACAACCTGAAATTAAATACAGGCTGGACTAATGCTGCTTCACAGATTGTCTGCTTATCTGTATACAGATACCTTATCTGTTATCTATGAATCTGTCTGTCTGTCTATATTGTTGGAATCCCTCCCTTATGGTACAAATAGTTTGCACTCTGTAACTAACCTAAAGATTGGCAATCTGAACCCACCCAGTGGTAACATGGAGTTTTGGTATGGTGCTGTAGGATAAGCACTGCTGGCAGTTCAGACTCACCAGCCACTCTTTGGAAACCCTATGTTGTAGCAAAGCGTCATCAAGTCAGTTCTGAGTCATAGCAACTCTGTATAGAGTTTACAAGGAGCTATTGGTAGGTTTAAACCACTGACCTTGTGATTCAAACCGATCTTGTTGCCTAATGCATTATCCTGCAGCACGCCACACCAGGGTCGCTATGAGTCAGAATCGACTGGCATTTAACAACAACAAAGTAGTTTCATGAAAGAAAGGTGTAGTAATCCTCTTCCTTTAAGATTACAATAAAGAAAACCCCAGGGAGTGTAGTTCTCTGGTACACACAAGATTGCCATGAGTTATAGTAGGTTCATAGCATGGGTTTAGTTCGTTAAATCTATGACTATACAGCTATCTCAATCTATGACTATACAGCTATCTCAATCTATGACTATACAGCTATCTCAATCTATAAACATCTATCTTTATAAATTATCAGCTTTATCTTATCTGTTACGTCTTATCTGAGTCTTATCTGAGTCCTGGTGTAGTGCTGTAGATAAGCACTGGACTGCTAACCAAAAGTTCAACAGTTCATAAGGGATTGCTATGAGATGGCACACACTGCACCAATGATAATCTAATAATAATGATAATCTAATCTCTGTAACATTTACTATCTATGTCTTACTGTTACTGTCTGTTAACTTGTCTATCACATCTCTGTTTTTGTTTTGTTTTTTACTTTAAAGTTTTATTTAGGGGACAGATACTAAACTTTCTCAGCAATTTTAGTTTCTAGTTTGTTTCTAAGGATCTCTGGTGGTGCAATAGTTAAGCATTCAGCTGTTAACTGAAAGATTGGTAGTTCAAACCCACCAAGCAGTTCCCTCCATGGGAGAAAGACTAGAGCATAGGAGGAAAAACTAGCAGTCTACTCTTTCCTATCTCTCTTTTTTTCTTTCTTTTAAAGGTGAATTGAGTGATAGTTTACATGGGAGAACATTGGTTTTGCACTCATCCTGTCGTATTTCGTTCCATTACAATGATTACAATCCCCTCCGTGCATCATCAATTTGTTTCTATTCCCTTTTTTGCTTGTTTTTTTTTTAATGTACACAAAAGCACTTGAGAATATATAATCATTTAAACAACCAAAGGGAACATTCTGCAAGCATGCCTCCTGGCCACCTTACATCTCTTTTTGTCTTACCTTTCTACCTACTTGGGCACTGGTGGTCCTGGAAAGGATGACTCTAACCGTGCAGTTTGGAGTTTGGCCAAAAACATCAGGGTCAGTGGGAACACAGGCCGGGGAGGGAAGTATCCCATGACCTCACCCCAGGTGAAAAAGATTTAGGGGGATCCAGGCACATACTTTTCCCCCATCACTTTCTTGTGGCTGGGGTTGTGGTCAGGACATGGGGTGGCAAAGTCCCTCTGCAGATCTGCTGATCTCATCAAATCCCCACCTCAACCCTCTAAATCGAACTCTGGATTAATGAGATGGCCATTTTAAGGGTGATTTCAATGCCCAACCTCATATCACCCAAAGAAACTCCTTTATATTGAAGTACAGCATCCCACCTGCTCAGGGACTGCCTGTCAGGGGACCTTGTAACACCCTCACCCTTCTTAAAACCTGCTTACCACCCAGGAGCCCTAGTAGTATAGTGGATTATGAGCTGGGCTGCTAACCATAAATTCAGCAGTCTGAATCTACCAAGTGCTCCCTGGGAGAAAGATAAGGTTTTCTCCTCTGGTAAAGATTTCCTGTCTTAGAAACCCTATAGAAGGTTGCTATGAGTCGGCACCAACTCTGCAGCACACCACCACCCATTGTTGATACAAAAAAGCAAGGTATCAATTCATTTAAAAACAAAATGACCGAAATGCTAGGAAATTATGTCTCTCTGTTGTAACAGCAGTGATCTCCCTGGGTCAGTGAGAATTAACCAATAACAGGAAAGGTACAAACCCGAGATTTCAAGGTTGCTTCCTGAGGCTTAGAGTTCAGTGTTAAAGGGAATTTCTACCACCCCTATCCCACCCCACAACCCACAGCTCCACACTCATCTATCTTATAGAATGAGGGACCCAAAAAATCTTTGAAAACTGGGTTCTGCTGTGTTATGTAGTCGGACCCACCAGAGACCCATTCCCTGGACAGCCAGCCTTGCTGCCTCAACTAGAGCACCTGAACCCAATGGACAAACTTCCTGCCAACCCCAAACCTCCCACTTCCCACCCCATCCCGGCTGGCACATTCAGTCCCTGGTCCTATGTGTTCTGTTCCTGCTTACCACACACCTGGTGGCTGGCATGCCCATCTGCCTCACCTTTTTGGTCCACTCCACGATTCTGCTTTCCGTGAAGGTCTCCATATCCTGGAAGAACATGCTCAGTTTCTTCTGGATCAGAGAGACGGTGATCTCTGAGATGGGCAGGTTGGCGACCTGGGCGATGACATCAGCCACGCGGCCCGAGCCCGCCACAATCACACAGGGGGTGCTGTTGGTGATGGCATTGTAGATGGTCTGCAACACAGAAGCAGAGTGAAACCACCAGCCATTCTGCCTTTGTAGTGGTGACGGTTGTTAACTATCAGAATAAACCTTTCCCAAACCCAATGCCATTGAGTTAATTCTGACTCATAGCCATCCTAAATAGGGTTCCTGAGACTGTACATCTTTATGAGAGCAGACCGCCTCATAAGTTTACAAAATGCATTATAAAAGGATAACACCATCTGCTTAGAGACAGGCTGTCTCCTGTTTACATTTCCTCACTCTCAATATAAATTAGGGTGTGTACTACTTTTAAATAACCCTCTTTATGGTAAAATAGACAAGAGATTCCTGAGGCTCACAAAAATACCTTGAAAAGATGTGGTTATCTGAAGCATAAAAGAGCAAGTGTTGAGAATAGGGTTGAATTATGTCCCCCATAAAAGATGTGTTGAAGCCCTAAGCCTCTGATACCTGTGAACACGAACTGACTTTGAAACAAGGTCTTTGAAGATGTTATCAGTTAAGACGACATCATACTGGAGTAGGGGGCTCCTAATTCTATGTAACTGGGGTCCTTATAAGAGGAGAAGAGGCTAAGACACAGAGAGAAGACAGCCAGATGAACCTGCTTCTACAAACCACGGAATGCCTGAGCAGGAGAGACAAGAAAGGAGCGTCCTCTAAAGCCTCTGAGATGGCATCACCCTGCTGATTTTGGATTCCCAGCCTCCAAAAGGGTGAGAGAATACATTTCTCTTGTTTTTTAAGCCATCTGGTTGTGGTACTTTGTTACCGCAGCCACAGAAAACTAATACAAATAGCATGATTGTGAAACTGCTGTTTGACGGCTTGTAAACAGTACAAAACAGCTGACCTTTCCCAAGTGGTGGTGGTGGTGGTTACGTGCCGTGCATAGGGACCCTATACAGGGTTTCCGAGGCTGTAAATCTTTACAGGAGCAGAAAGCCTCATCTTTCTCCCACAGACCAGCTGGTAGTTTTGAACTGCTGACCCTGAGATTAGCAGCCTGATTCATAACCACTGTGCTACCAGAGTTCCCAAGTGGGTCAATGTAAAAACCCAGTGCCATGAAGTTGATTCTAACTCATAATAATCCTGTAGGACAGAGTAGAACTACACCGTAGGGTTTCCAAGGAGATCTTGACTGTCAAATCACTCTCCCATAAAGCAGCTGGTGGGTTAGGACTGTCAGTCTTTGAATTGGCAGCTCAGCGCTTAACCACTGTACCACCAGGGTACCACTGCCCCCTTAACCCCAGGTTCCAGAATCCTTGCCTCTCTGATACTTTGTGAAATGGGAAATTCTCAAGCTTTAACAATGTTTCATTTCAGGGCTAACTGAATTAGGGAAATACTAAAAGTGCCATGGACTGCCAAAAGAACTAATAGATTTGTTTTGGAAGAAGTACAGCCAGAGTGCTCCTTGGAGGCCAGGATGGCTAAGCTTCGTCTCTCACACTTTGGACATATTGTCAGGAGGGAATAGTCGCTGGAGAAGGATGTCATGTTGGGTAAGATGGAGGGTCAGAGAAAAAGAGGAAGACCCCCCAACGAGATGGATCAGCCAGGTGGCATCATTGATGGCATCAAGTGTGACAGCGGTAGTGAGATTGGCCCAGGATCAGACATTGTTTCGTTCTGCTGTGCATGGGGTCGCTATAAGTCGGTTCCAACTCGATGGCACCTGACAACAACAACACTGCTGGTCTTCATTAGCTGGAGCATCCTACTGCTTGCTCAGAGGGGAATGTGGCTGATCCTGGTGTGCTATGGGTGGACACCTGACATACTAGTTGTTTCAGGTGTCCACCTGAAACAATCAACAGCACCGCTGTGATAAAAGGTCCCTTGATATTTCCACCCACTGACACGTAGACAGGAGCATGACCCTCCGCAAACGGAAGCCTGCAGCATGGATGAGGAGTAAGACTCCTTCTCTAAGGCCCAAGACAAATCATATGACATCTAGCTTCTGCTTAGCTCCAGGAAGTGACTGCTAACAAAGCTATAGGGCAGGAAGGACACCTCCCACATGAGTAAGTGCTGCTCTGTGGTGAGTTCACAGCATCCAATCACCAACAGCCTACATGTGAAGTAGCGGGGTCTAGTCTCAGTATTCATAGCGGTGTGTCCTTTAATAGCATCATGAATATTGTATTAGCAAATACAGAAAACCACTGCCAGAAGGAAAATACAGGTTAGGTTCCTGTGAGGCTCTGGTCACCACATTTTTATTCATTGATCAATATGTAACCTTGTTTTATGCCGACTTCTGTTTAAAGATACATTTAACATGCATTAAAACTGAAGTTGTGAACAATAGCACTATAACACATGGCTGCATCAAGTTTATCTACCACACAAGTTTTCTCTGCAAGGCAGAGTGCAACTTTACTATAGCTAGGAGCACCAGACCACTTCAGCACTTGGCTGCCTTTTAAACAGCAAAATCACCCAAAAAAAGTACAAAACTGAAAAAAGCAAAACAAAACATGGTACTAAATAGACCTCAGAAAGGTCACCTGTTTACCGTACAAGAGAGGAAACAGAGGCAGAACGTTGCTGTATCAGCCTCAGCTGGGAACATACATGTAAGGAGACTCAAATGTTCTACTACTCTGAACTGCTAACCAAGACGGGCAGTGCAAACTCACCAGACCCTCCTCAGAAACCCTAAACAGGGTTGCTATGATTTGGAACCAACTCAATGGCATTTAACAACAGCAACAAACAGCATATACGTAAGACCAAGAAAGCACTGCCAGTATTGATTCTGAAGTCATAAAGAAATTTTAGCCAGTAGACAAATTCCAAATAGACTCTATGAATGGTATCTGTATTACATCCTGTATTATATCCAGCCAGACATTTCAGGGTAATCTCCTGATGTTACAAAACAGAAGCAGGACCGTTTTTCACTATACTGTAAAGAAAATGTTCATATTCTTGCCCCTGAATCCTCAGGCTGTAATATCATCATACATTCCTACAGCAGAAATAAAATGGGTTAAGGTTGTGTTCAAGAGGCAAACCACACACCACAGGGTGGTTTCCAAATAAAGGTCATGCTGTAGATTAACTTGTCCCCCTCAAAAAAAAAATGTGTTGGAATACTGACCCCAATACCTCCATCATCCCTATCCTTACCCCCTATACCATTGTAAAAGAGCCTCGATGGCACAATGGTTAAACACTCGGCTGCTAACTGAAGGATTAGCGGTTCAAGACTACCAGCAGCTCCACAGGAGAAAAAATTCATGGCAATCTGCTTTCATAAAGTTTACAGGCTAGGAAACTGTATGAAGCAGTTCTACTCTGTCCTATTAGGTCGTTAAGAGTCAGAATCGACTTGATGGCACATAGCAACAACATACCTGTGTAATACTGGTGGGGAATCCCAAAACTCACTGCCATCAAGCCGAGCAGACTGCCACATCTTTCTCGCACAGAATTGCTGGTGGGTTTGAACTGCCAACCTTGAGGTTAGCAGCCCAATGCTCAACCCACTGTACCACAAGGAATAGGGTTTTTTGTTTTGTTTTTTAATTACATCAATGAGGCTCCGTTGGATAGGGTGCATACTAAACCTAATCATTACCTAGTTACAGGGAATACCATAGAAACAGAGACAAGCAGTACAAACGGGGAAAGACAGAGGTCACGGGAAGGTTGCCCAGCACTGAGGAATGCCAGAGCCAAAGAAGCTTGAGACAGAATCTCTCCCAGAATTGACCAAAAGACCACCTTCCCTATAGCCAGTGCCCTGAATTCAGACTTCTAACCTCTTAAACAATGAATAAAGAAGACCACAGAAGAAATAATGTATTTGGGTTTGGGTGTTGGAGGAGATTATTTAAAGTACCATGGACTGCCAAAAGAACAAGCAAATCTGTGTTGGAAGAAGTACAGCCAGAATGCTCCCTAAAAGCCAAGATGGCAAGCTTCGTCTCTTATACTTCAGACATGTTATCAGAAGGGACCAGTCCCTAGAGAAGGATATCACACTAGGTAAAGTAGAAGATAAATGAGAAAGAGGAAGACCTCCAATGAGATAGATTGGCACAGTAACAGCAGAAATGGGCTCAAAGGTAGTAATGATTGTGAGGTTGGCACAAGATGGGCTAGTGTTTCATTTTGTTGTGCACAGTGTTGCTATGAGTCAGTACCAACTTGATGGCACCTAACAACAACAACCTCCTAAATTGTGAGAAAATAAATTTCTGTTCTTTCAAGTCACCCACTCATGGAATTTGTTTTACAGAAGCACTAGAGAACCTAGGCAGCCCATTAGCAATGTGTTAAAATCACTGTTGTGTTGTCAATGCCGTTGAGTCAGTTCTGACTCAGCCTCGTATAGGCTTTCCAAGGCTGTAAATCTTTATGGGATGGACTGAGAAAGGCTGTGTGACTGAGGGCAGGAGGCTGACTTGCCTTGTGTCCTTTGGATCATTTAAATGAATATAGATTTTTTTGTTTCATATGTGTGAAAAAAAAAAAAATCTTTATGGGAGCAGACTATCTCATCTTTCTCCCACAGAGCAACTGGTATATTCAAATGACTAACCTTATGGTTAGAAGCCCAACTTGCCAACTTGTAACCCACCAGGCTACCAGAGCTCTGTTGTTGCTGTGCTGTTAAGTGCTGTTGAGTCCGTTCCAACCCATAGTGACCCTGTGTAGGGTTTCCAAGGAGCAGCTGCTGAGCTTGAACTGGTGACCTTGCAATTCTAATGACTTCGCAGTCTAGTGCATTAACCCACAGCACCATACCAGGACTCCTTACCAGAGCTCAAGAGGAACTTAAATATAGCTGCTGATTCCATAGATCTGGTGAGGGGGAGGGAAGAGATGTCCAAGGGTCTGCACTTTAAAAACACACCTGGGGGAGTCTGAGCAGTGGAGTTGTAGAAATAACCGTACCCACTGGCCCAGTCATGGGGTGGAAGTGAGGGGAGGGAAAGGAATGGTCTGGAATCCAAGGCATCCTGCATCCTCTCCCTCTGGAATCAAACTCTCTAACATCCATACCAGGCAACTCCATGGACCCAATTCTACCCTCCCAGGCCAAGGTGCCAACCAACAGTTCTCTGATGGTGCCATCTGGAGATGGTCCTCTTGTAAAATGTTGGGCCCTCACTTACTCCATCTCAGGGTGGACAAGCCCATTGCCATCTCCTGCCAATAATTTCCTGAAATGTTGGCAAAAGGTCTTTGGACCTATCAAACATCTGCATCAGGACCAAACCCAAGCAGTCCCAGCCCAGCCCAGCCAGTACTCACATTCAGCGTGCCAGGTCCTCCCTCCAGTACCACACAGACGATGGGGATCTTGATGGCCACCCCTAGGATAAAGCATGGTGTCCTGAACCAGGGGGTGCAAACCCTCTACCATGAGGACACTTCCCCGTTCCCCTACCATCTCCAGTTCACAGTACTGAAACTGCCTTTCCTAGTCACCTGTTGAAGTTCAGTTGGAAGATTTATTATAGATAATAAGCTTTCAGACTTCAAACCAGTTCTTCCTGATTCAGTCAAGGCCAATGAAGTGAAACCAGAATAAATTCAAATTTGTAAAATGTGGGCATACTGAACCAACAACCAGAATAGGAAAAATTACAGCTTGATATTCTGTTAGAAGCATATGATACCTCCTGCCCACAGGCACACAGCCTTTCTCAGTCCATCCCATAAAGATTTACAGCCTCAGAAATCCTATATAAGGCTTCTAGGAATCAGAACAGACTCTATAGCACATCACCATCACCAGCCAGAAGCCCTATACAGGGCAGCACTGTTGAGTTGCATAGCAACCACATTTTTTGATTGACAGAATCAGAAACAATGGTGCTCAGTTCAAAGATGGTGGCTGACCATATCTCTTTGAATGTGTGTTATTTTCGATTAAAAAAAAAGTCTATTGCCATCAAGTAGATTCCAACCCCCAGTGACCCTAGATAGGGCTTCCAAGACTGTAAATCTTTTTTAGGAACAGACAGCCTTATCTTTCTTCCAAGGAACAGCTAGTGAGTTTGAACCACTGGCCTTGCAGTTTGCAGCCCATAGTCTAACCCACAGCGCCACTAGGTTCCTGGCAATAATTCAATCTCCCACATCAAGCTCCTAAAAGAAATTCCCTCCAAGTTTCCCATTCTAGGACTTCAATTCATGATTTTCCCCATTATGGTTATTGTCTCATACACCCACATTTTACAAATTTGGGTTTGCCCAGATTTTGCTGCATTAGCCTGGCTGAACTAACTCAAACTGATTCACAGTCCTGGTAGCTTTAAAAGATTAAGGCTCCAGAGTTTGCAGATGATTGGCTTACTCTCTACCCACCAATGCCTGTTGCTATCGAGCTGATTCTGACTCATGGTGACCCCAAGTACATACAGTAGAACTGTACTCCATAGCATTTTCAAAGCTGTGAACTTTTGGAAACAGATTGTCAGGCCTTTCTTCTGCGTTACTCTGTATAAATCACTGCAAACTCAAGAACACTCTGTTTGTCACTGGACTGCTCCTATCCATGGTTGATTACAGCTGGCACCCCAGATTCCCCATGCATGTCTTCTCTATCAGGCAGGTCACTCAACTTGTTATGACTATGACTTTGAGACCCTTTCTGTGGCTTCTCAAAATCTGAAGTCACCTGTGGGGACATGTCAACCAAAGAAGTATCCTGCACAGAGCAGGAGCAAGGCCAGAAGTCTGTCCTCTGTCTGCCTTTCCAGCAACACCCTCCTCCTGGCACAGCCAAAAGGAAGCCTAGTTAAAACTTTAGAAGCCTCCTTCCCTGGGCACTTAATTTTATATCCAGATCCTATTTGCACATGCTCACACCCCAAACCATTTCTAGCCTGGGTTTCCTCAGTCAAAGCTGGGGTTTTCCAAATGGAGTCCCTGGGCCAGTAGCAACAGCAAAACATAGGAATTGTTACAAATGCAGGTTATCAACTTCATCCAGAGACTCTGGGGGAGGGTTCAGAACTCTGTCCTGACAAATTTGCATGGCTCTAAAGGCTTCCCAACCAATCCAGGTACAGGGCCTATTCTCTCTGATCCTTTCTTCCCCCTCTCCTCAAAACACACCCATCATCCTATATAGTTGACCCACAAATGTCCTTAAAGCCATCCCATCCCATCTACAAGGAGCAGACATCCAATTCCAAGTTTTACCTCTTCCCCATCCTGACTTCTGAATGTGAAGCTGTACTATGATTTCAACTAACCATGTTGTTGTTGTTGTTAAGTGCCGTCGAATCGATTCTGACCCATAGCAACCCTGTATAGGGTTTCCAAGCAGTGACTGGTGAGCTTGAACCACTGACCTTGCAGTTCAAACAACTTTGCAGTCTGATGCATTAGCCACACCAGGACGGTGTGGTCTATTACCTGTGCCTGAGCATAAAAGCAGAGGCTGCCCTGACTTTCCTTCTACTGGTCTAACGGGTTTGCATACAAGGGTGGAAGAAGGTCACCTCAATGAACTGAATTTTATTGGAGCCCTTTGTTCAAGAATACCATTCCTACTTGGGTGTTCAGAAGAAGGTTTATTTTAACTGACCAAGAAGAGCTTACTTGTCTACTCTTGTTTAAATAACTATAGAATGTCTCCAAAACCTTCCTCTCTCTGAGCACCCAACCCTCACCTCTCTTTCCCTCCTGGATCTCCCAGTACCAGGGCCCCTTATAAGAAACCAAGGCATTCCAAGCAGACTAACCCTAATTACAACCTCAGTAAATTACTCACCCTGGCCAACCATCATCTCCTCTTAAATAAGGGGAGGCTCCTGTGCTCTCCGCCCTGCCCCTGATTCCTTAGCCCTTTCTCTTCCCTTACAGAAATTATCTTGTAATAAAGTTGTGCTTGCCCATGTTAACATCATCTGGTGCAATTTTTACAGATCAGGTGAAAAGAGACAGTGGGACAAGAAGCATAGGTACATCCAACACATCTCAGTGTGCCATCCCAATGAGCGTGTGAACATCCTGACAACCCTGGTCCTTGCTGAGTGCCCAGACAGCCCACCTCACTCACCTCCCCTTTCCTTTGTCTGCTCTGATATGAACTTCTCCAGCCTGGTCCTCAAGCGAATCTCCACCCCATATTGACCATGGGTTCCATCGTCCACCAGGATGAAGTGGGAGTGGTTGCTGTCCAGACAGGTAAGGTTCCCCTGGCCTTCCTCATCCAGAACATACTCAGCAGGGAAGCCGCCCTGGGATGGCCAGACAAGAGTTCGACTAATGTACAAAAAGTATTATGTCTTTAACACTGGGAATGAGAGCTCTAAACTGAAAAACCCAACCCAGTTGCCCTCAAGTCAGCCTCTGACTCATGGCGACTTCATGTGTGTCAGAGTAGAATTGTACTCCATAGGGTTCTTAATGGCCGAGTTTTCAAAAGCAGATCACCAAGCCTGTCTTCTGAGGTGCCTCTGTCTGGGTGGAGTTGGACCTCCAAACTTTCACTTAGCAGTTAAACTTGTTAACATTTGTGCCACAGGAACTCCAATGAGGGGGTCTAGTAGCCTGAATAATGGTGGTGGTGGTGGTGTGCCAAGGAGTCGGTTCTGACCCAAAGCGACCCTACATAGGGTTTCTGAGGCTGTAAATCATTCTGGAGCAGAAGCCTCATCGTTCTCCTACAAAACAGCTGGTAGTGTCAAACTGCTGACTGTAAGATTAGCAGCCCTACACATAATCACTACACTACCAGCCCATTATTCACGTCTACATTGTAGTCCTTAGAAATTATAATGTCACCTTATTTGGAGAAATTTTTGTAAATATGGTTAAGGATCATGAGATGAAGGAGATTATTCTAGACTATCTAGCTGGGCAAGTGTCCTTATAACAGGAAAATAGAGGGAGATTAGACACACAGAGAAGAGAAGGAATGTGAAGATGGAGACAGAGATTGAATTTATACAGCCACTAGGAGTACCTGGGACCACCAGGATCTGGGAGAGACAAGAAAGAGTCCTCTAGAGCCTCTGGAGGGAGCATGGCCCTAACGACATCTTGATTTGGGTCAAGTGATATTGATTTCAGACTTCCAAAACTCTGAGAAGATACATTTCCAGATTTATGGTAATTTGTTACAGCAGCCACAAGATACTCATACAGGGGGTGCTAGGTCAGGACACATCTCTCATGTCCACAAAGGGTAGAGATTGTGCTCAAGCCTTGAGGGATAGTTCCCATCTCCGTCCATAGAAGATGGACGTATGGTATAATTGGAAGTCTTGTGGACTGGGAATGGGGAGCATAGTAAACAGAATCTTGGAAATCACCCAACTTCTCTTAACCTCCATTTTCCAATCAGTACAATGAGTGTGGAAGACCAAATAGTCTATCCAACACTGCCAGTTGCACCCATCTTGGATTCTGACACAAAAGGAAGCAGAGACAAAGGCCAGCACAGACTGACCAGTGCCTGGCTGAATCCCCAGTGGGCATCTGTGACAAGCAGAGGACTCTCCATGCCGAGGAATGTCTTCCTCCTAGGGATAAGTGCTAGTGGCCTTTTCCAGAGCAGATGAAGGACACCATGCACAAATATCCATTCATTAACAAGGCAGTTAAAGGAAAGTCTCCTCCACAAGTCATAAGTCCATATTGCCCGAATTTTCTTAACCATTCACTACATCAAACATAATATGTCCTTAAAAAAAAAACTTGTTGAATGAGCCCCATGACCTTTTCCAACTCCAGTCTCCATATTTAAGTCATTGATTCTTGCTGTCAAATCATTTACAAAGACAGTTGAGCTCCATCGTTCCTCCTAAAAGGGAAGCTTACAGCTGGCACTGACCACTTGGACTCATAGCACAATGGAGTTTCTTGGACTGAGGAGACCTCAGAGTCTCTGGGTGGCACAAATGGTTGATGTACTTGAATGCTAACTGAAAGATTGGCAACTTGAGCCTACTCAGATGTACCTTGGAAGAAAGATTTGATAGTCTACTTGCAAAACAAACAATACTGAAAACTCTACAGGGCACAGTTCTACTCCGACAATCATGGGGGAGGAACTCACCACGCAGAAGTTCAAAGCTCAGGTTTGGGGATCAAATGGGCTGGGTTCAGTGCAGCTCAGGAGTTCATCCGCTATGACCTTGTCCAAGTTACTTCCCTCCCAAGTCCATTTCACAGTCTCTCATCAGAGGAGCCATAGGGATGGCCCTCAGACCATGGTGACTCTAAGATGGCTCTTATATGGGTCCTTCCTCTGGTATTGAAAAAGGAAACTGGAGTCTAGCCATGACAACTGCTTGTTCCAGGTCACTGGGTCCATAGTGTGGGTAGGACTTGGGGCTGGGGGCATCTTCTGAACCCACTGTACCATCTGGTGGTCAGATGGAGGTCTGTTGTTTTCATACCTATGGGTGTGGTCCTCACACCCTCGTCCACTCACTCCTCTCCTACTCTGATCCACCCCTACCCCAGGGCAGGCCATGCTCACTGTGGGGTGGACCAGACTCTCCCGGTTATGAACAGTGCCCCATGTGGCAACTCCAATGGTGATGACATCGCCTTCTTTGTAGCTGCTGCTTAGGCTGAAGTCCCTCACGGCTTCACCCACCTGTTTCATCACCCCAGCATGGGACCCTCCAGTGATGATCCAGGCCCCTAGAGAAGAGGAACAGGGGAGTCAGAGGGCACACAGGTTCAGCTGCCAGGCAAAACCCTGACACCCAGGCCCTTCCATGGTTAATGATGCTGTTGTTGTTAAGTGCCATGGAGTCGATTCTGACTCACAGCAACACTATATAGGGTTTCCTAGGAGTGGCTGGTGGGTTTGAACTGCCAACCTTGTGGTTCAAACTGACCTTATGGTCCAGTGCTTTCTTCTACAGTGCCACACAGGACTCACTCCTTTATGTTGGCATAGTTCCTAACTCAAGGAAGTCTTAAATAGATTAGCAGGTATGATTCTCAAAGCCAGGGATAAGAAGGAATGTACAATATGAGTCTGTCTTCATGTTGCAGCTCAGGAAACCACAAGGAAATGGCATTCATGTTGCTCAGAAAGGAAGAGAGAGGACAGGAACAGGAACTCATCTTCTGACCAGGTCTCAACACCTCTCGTCACTTCCCTGCTACCTCCTCAGTCCCAATCTTGGAAAACTTCTCTGATATCTACTTCAAGTTTTACTTTTTCTCTTCTTCTATTTCTGATTCTAGTTTTTCTACTTGTACGTCTATGTCTACTTCTATTTCTTCTACTTATTCTGTATTTACTTCTTCCATTCCTATTTCTTCTACTATTTTTACTTCTGTTTCTACTTCTACTACTTTTTCTATTCCTTCTACTTCTAGTTCATCTACTTCCATTTCTTATTCTACTTCTATTTCTATGTCTTCAACTTCCACCTATCCTATTCTTCCTCTATTTCAGCTTCTTCTATTGCTTCTTATATTTGTACTTATTTTTCTACTACTACTACTTGTACATCTACTTCTATTCCTATTTTTCTGCTTTTATTTCTGTTTATTTTATTTTTATTTCTTCTACTCCTAGTTCTACTTTGTCTGTTTCTACTTCTTCTATTTCTGTTATACTTTTTGTATTTCTATTTCTTCTACTTCTTCTATTTCTATTTTTCTTCTTCTCATTCTTCCACTTCTGTGTCTCCTATATCTACTTCTACCTCTACTTTTAATTCTGTTTCTGCTTCTTCCATCTCTATTCCTACTTCAATTCCTTCACTTCAACTTATCCTTCTACTTCAAGAACTTTCCCTTCTTCCTCTCAGTTTTTGGGACCCATGTGTGGTAGGCTGTATTCCTGCTCCCTGTACCATATGGCCACAGGACCTGCAATAACTCTCCTTAGGGGATCAGCTTTCCTATACCACTATTGGGTTTAACCAGGGTTCCCACTCTGGTCATCAGCATAGAGGGAGTAGAATGACAACCACAGCAGAGTATAGTGAGTTCATACCAGAGTTTTTGCTCCACTCCCTCTGCCACAAGAACAGAAGGTGCCAAGTAAGATTTGTTCCTTTGGTCCATGCCCTTTACTGAGAAAACACATGGGCCCTTACCCACAGTCACAATCTTGAAATGAAAGCACAAAGCTATGTTTGCTGTCACTACTATTACTTTGGGTTGTTGGTTACCTGTAAAATGTTAATAGCACAGAAACTGGTACCTACAAGCAAGTATACAATGCTGCCATAAACTTAAAAATATAAAACATGTGGTACTGGCTTTGGGCCAGGCAGTGGGCAGCAAGGATATCAAGATGGAAAGCCAACATGATACAATGACAAGGTAGGTGGGGACGCTGCCACTTGTGATTACCTGAGAAGCAGGTAAGCACCTAACGAACCCAGGGTACTATTCACAGATGAGAGTCTGAGAAGGTCAATAGTGGTTAGGTATACTTGACCAATCCTCACCTGAGCAGCCTGAGAAAAGAATCCATCAATTTACAGATAGGGATGGAAGAAAAGAGAAAGTCAGAAAATCTGGGACTTCCAGGGTGAGAGGTACACCTGGCCCTCATTTACCCAATGGAAAGTGGTGAAACTGAGAAAGGCCAATTAAGGCTCAGGTTAACACTGTTTCAGGAAAAAGACCAGGAGTTCTTGGGTGGTGAAAACAGTTCATGTGCTTGGTTGCTAGCTGCAAGGTTGGTGGTTTGAATCCACCCCAGGTACCTCAAAAAAGAAGTTGGTAATCTACTTCCAAAAAATCAGGCATTGAAAACCGTATAGAGCACAGTTCTCTTCAGACACACAGAGGGCCACCCTGAGTGGGAATTGACATGATGACAACTGGGCAAAGAGCAAGTCCCAGATGGTCCTATTCTGTGTGAAAATCAAACCCTTAGAATCGTTCTATGACTCTGCTATCATCTAAACCCCAAAATTACTTTCCTTGTTGCTACCCTACCCTGGTGTGACCCACCTCAGAGACACAGACATTCTACTTATCAGTCATTACTTTGAGGGGCCCTCAGGGTCCCAAGGTCAATTAGACCAGTGCCCTGTGACAATTTGGCTCTGGAGAGCATGAGGTAGAAGTCTTGGTCCCTATATGGTCTTTCTAGTGCTGTGACTTTGGGAAGTTACTTAATTTCAAAGAGGCAGGGTTTGTTGTTGTTTTTTTTTTCATTTAAAGATGGAAATAACATACCTACTTCCCTGAAGCTGATGAAAAGATTAAGTGCTAGGTACAGAGTCTGGTTCTCAGAAACTCTCATTAGCATCCCAATAATGAACCCAACCTACTCTGTGCTCCTCAGGAATCAATTGCCCATACCATTCCATAAACTTGCCACTCAGAACCACCTGCGGCTACGGTCACTAGTAGAGTTATACACTGGAGCTGTTTGTGCCGTGTGACTGAGCTGGAAGACAGTAGCAGGATATCAAGGGAGATGCTGGGAGATGAATGTTTCTTCATCCAGGTATTGAGTCACCATCTGCAGCTAAGGAGGTATTATGAATTGAATTATGTTTCCTAAAAGACCTGTTTCAAGTCCTCTTCACTTGAAACAGGTCTTTTAGGAGGCATAAATCAAACTTGAAACATTTACTTATGAAGATCAAAGAGCACAGCCTTCGATATGGATTATATCTCAATGTCAAGAAAACAAAAATCCTCACCACTGGACCAATAAACAACATTCTTATCAATGGAGAAAAGATTGAAGTTGTCAAGGACTTCATTCTTCTTGGATCAACTATCAACACTCGCGTAAGTAGCAGTCAAGAGATCACACGACGTATTGCACTGGGCAAATCTGCTGTACAGGAACTTTTTAAAGTGTTGAAGAGCAGAGATGTCAGCTTGAGGACTAAGGTGCGCCTGACCCAGGCCATTGTATTTTCAGTAGCCTCATATGGATGCGAAAGCTGGACAGTGAATAAGGAGGATCATAGAAGAATTGATGCCTTTGAATTGTGGTGTTGGAGGAGAATGTTGAAAGTGCCATGGACTGCCAAAAGAACCAATAGATCTGTTTTGGAAGAAGTGCAGCCAGAGTGCTCCTTGGAGGACAGGATGGCTAAGCTTCGTGTCTCATACTTTGGACATATTGTCCGGAGGAAACAGTCACTGGAGAAGGATGTCATGCTGGGTAAGGTGGAGGGTCAGAGAAAAAGAGGAAGACCTCTAACGAGATGGATTGGCCAAGTGGCATCACTGATGGACTCAAGTGTGGCAGCAGTAGTGAGGTTGGCCCAGGATCGGACATTGTTTCATTCTGCTGTACCATGGGGTCGCTATGAGTCGGTTCCGACTCGATGGCACCTGACAACAACAACAACAAAAGACCTGTTTAAGTATTAACCCTGTGTCTTTGAGTGTGACCTTGTATAAAATAGGATCCTTGTACATTTAATTAGTTAACATGAGGTCATACTAGAATAGTAGTCATTGGTGGTAAGTGTCAATGAATCAGTTCCGACTCTTAAAAACACTGTACAGTTTCCAAAGAGCGACTGATACGTTTGAGCTGCCAACCTTGTAGTTCACATTCAGTGCTTATCCTACAGTGTCACACCAGGAGTCGATACTCAAGTTGTTGTTGTTGTTAAGTACCATCTAGTCAGCTCCAACCCATAGCAACCCTGTGTAGGGTTTCCAAGGAGCAGCTGGTGAGCTTGAACCGCCAACCTTGCAGTTCAAATGGCTTTGCAGTCTGGTGCATTAACCCACAGCACCACAAGTAGGTGGGTCCTAATCCTTATAAGAAAGGAAAAGAAGCAAAGACATACACACAAAGGGAAGACAGCCTTGTGAGGCTGAAGGAAGTGATTAGAGTGATGTATGTAGTCCAGAGGAAACAATCGTTGGAGAAGGATGTCATGCTGGGTAGGGTGGAGGGTCAGAGAAAAAGAGGAAGACCCCCAACGAGATAGATCAGCCAGATGGCATCATTGATGGACTCAAGTGTGGCAGCGGTAGTGAGGTTGGCCCAGGATCGGACATTGTTTCATTCTGCTGTGCATGGGGTCGCTATGAGTCAGCTCCGACTCGATGGCACCTGACAACATGTAGTCACAAGCCAAGGAATGAATGGAGCTACCAGAAGGTAGAAGAGGCAAAAATACTCCCCTAAAACCTGTGGAGGAAGAGTGGCCCTGCCAACACCCTGAATTCAGAATTTTGGCATAAGGAACAATATAAGAATAAATTTCTGTTGTTATAAAGTCCCTAATGTGTAGTGTTTTGTTACAGTATCCACAGACATTCATACAGGTGTGAACTTTCCAATCTTGTTGGCCTTGCCACTGCACAACCTGAAGACTGCCCCACCACCAACCCACCACCCACTGCTTCCCTCTCAAACAGGAGCCTGTACAGATAGTGCCTCGTTTCCATTCCAAACTCTCACCTGTGGTCTGGGCCACTTTAACCAGGCCTCTCCGGAAGATGCTTTTTAGCCTCAGCTTCATGTTGAAGTTCTTGGCCCCACCCGTCACTGAGATTAAGAGATTGGGAACATCCAGCCCCCAGTGCTGGGTCATGAGATGGTAGATAATGCTGGAGGGTGTGTCCTGGGAGACTCGGACATACTGCAGAGGAAGTACAATAGGAGGAGGAGACCCTGGGTCAGCAAGCAACAGCCATTCATGATCATCATGTGTCTGAAAGGCCACATCCCACCCCAGCCTGCCGACCCTGACTTGATTGCCCCACCCTTCCCATTCCAATTGCTATGGGGCCACTGCAAGCACCATTGTGAGACTGCTATAGGGCTTCTGGGACCATCAGCAGTGGACTCAATCCCACAGTGAAGAGCACCAAAGCAATGGAGACCCACCTTTCCCACATTCTGGCCCAAGCCTAAGAAGACGATATCACCAAAGGCATCTGTGGGCATCTCCTGGATGTGCTTCTTGGGGTCCCACTCCTTGTCCTGGAACACATGGAACTTGGTGGCCTCCTCCAAATGCTGTTCACGAGTATACCCGCATTCACATACCACCTTCCTGTAAAGACATCGCACAGGTCACTCACCCAGACAGGGGGCTAAAACCCAAGAGATGCCCCAAGATGAAGAGTCCCTGCACCTTCCATAAACCCTCAGTCTGAAAAGAAGATGAGGGAGAAGTCTTCTCAGTCAGCTTTCTGTTCCCAAGTGGGAAGATAAAGACCTACACCCAGGCAGCCAAGTAGGTAGCTTACTCTAGCCTTACCTGTCTGCAACTCCCACCTGTCTCAGGCAACTTCCACTAACAGGCATGAAATACTAAGCTCCACTGAGCCCCTTTGCTGATCTAGAAATATCTAGAACGAGCTCAATGCTTCCATGGAATTGGTTGCATGAGCTGCTTCTATCACTGATTTTTGCTTTGGAACAAGTCACGTTTTCCTTCTTTGGGCCTCAATTTTTTCTTCTCTAATTTGGAGGTGAGATAGAGAATAAGCCATGTAAGAATCTTTTCAACCCTTTAAATCCCATCAATTTATTCCAAGCACAGACAACAGGATAATGGCAAACGCATCTACAACACTCACTATGAGCCAGGCACATTCCAGATGCTTACCTGTATTACCAGTTAAGCCTCCCAGCAACCTTCTGAAGTAGGCACTATTACTATAGCCAGTTTACAGATGAGAAAACCAAGGCACAGAAAAGCTCCTCAGTACTTTGCCCAAGGTCATCCAGAAAGCACAGGGCAGACATAACATTCAAACCCAGTATGCCTGGACCCAGAATTCATGCTATACTGCCTCTCTAGGAGTTGTAAGAATGTTTTTAAGCAAATAGATCTACCACGAAGATCAATGGTCATATGGTACCTTGAATAAGGCACACACTCAATACAAGTTTAATTTCTCCAATAAGGCTATAACATCCTGGTGCAGAAGGAAGGGATGCATGTAGTGTGTATTGTGCTGGCCTCATAGCTGATCTCACACAATCTTAAGCAAGTTGGCACCACTGCCTCCACTTAACAAACAAGTTACTGAACCTTGTAAAAGTCCCTCTCTTTTTAACCTCACAGTTCAGCAAGGTCAGGGCTGGCTTTGGATCTGCCTGGCCCCAAAACTGCAGGAAAAATGACGAAAACTTCTTAGACTATGGCTAGGGACCATAGACTCAGGAGTCACCATGGTCATTTGGTAGTGGTGGTGGCTGTGTGCCACCAAGTCAGTTCCAACTTATAGTGACCCTGCATAGGGATTCCAAGGCTGTAAATCTTAACAGGAGCAGAAAGCCTCATCTCTCTCAGCATAACATAATCCACAAAGACAATGTTGTACATGCTACTTTGGTGAGTGGCATCTGGAATCTTTAAAGGTCATGAGCAGCCGTCTCAGGTGCACCTATTGGTTTCTCCATTTGCAGAAGAAAGATGAGTGATGAGAACTGAAGATACTTTGAAACAATGAGTCCAATGAACTCCAATGATGGAACATGTGAACATCAGTCTCCATGACTCTGAGACCAGAAGAACAAGGTAGTGCCCGGCTACCACTACCAATTGCTATGGTATAGTAGAAGGTCAGTGAAAGAGAGGAAGAACCCCAACGAGATAGATTGGCATAGTGACAGCAGATATGAGCTCAAGTTTAACAATGACTGTGAGGACGATGCAGAACCAGGCAGTGTTTCTGTCTATTGTGCATAAATTTGCTATGATTTGGAGCTGACTCAATGACATCTAACAACAACAAAAACTTCCATGGGCACTCGTTTTGAATTCAAGTAAAATGAAATCTTTGACAACTTCAATCTTTTCTCCATTTATCATGATGTTGCTTATTAGCCCACTTTTGAGGATTTCTGTTTTCTTTATGATGCAGTGCAATCCATACTGAAGGTTGCAGTCTTTGATCTTCATCAGTCCTCTTCAAGTTCTCTTTTCTTTCAGCAAGCAAGGTTGTGTCCTCTGTATATCACAGGTTGTTTATTAGTCTTCCTTTAATCCTGATGTCACATTTTTCTTCATATACTCCAGTTCTTGAGTGATCTGCTCAGCATACTGATTGAATACACAGTATGAATACATACTGATTGAAAGAACACAACCCTGGCTCACACATTTCATCATTTTAATCTACACAGTATTCTCTTGTTTTGTGTGAACAACTACCTCTTGGTCTATGAACAGGTTTCTCATGAGCACAATGAAATATTCTGAAATACACATTCTTTGGCGTGTTATCCATAGCCTGTCATGATCTACACAGTTGAAAGCTTTTGTGTTGTTAATAAAGCACAAGTAGCTATCAGTGATAGTAAAGTTTAGTGTCAACTTGCCTGGGCCAAGATTCTCAGTGATTTGACAGTTGACCTATAGCTATCCCCCATGTTGTGATTTAATGTGGCAACCCTTTTTTGTTGTTGTTTTAGGTGTTGTCAAGTTGATTCCAACTCATAACAACCCTATGCACAACAGAACAAAACACTGCCTGGTCCTGTGCCATCCTCACAATCATTGTTAAGCTTGACCCCATTGCTGCTACCACTGGGTCAACCCATCTCATTGGGGGGGTCTTCCTCTTTTTTGGGGACCCTCTACTTTACCTAGCATGATATCCTTCTCCAGGGACTGGTCCTTCCTGATAATATGTCTTAAGTATGAGAGACCAAGTCTTGCCATCCTGGCTTCCAAGCAGCATCGATTGTACTTCTTCCAACATAGATTGATTTGTTCTTCTATCTGTCCATGGTACTTTTCATATTCTTCCCCAGCACCATAATTCAAATACATCACTTCTTTTATCCTGTTCCTTATTCACTGTACAACTTTCACATGCATATGAGGTTATTGAAAATACCGTGGCTTGCATCAGGTACACCTCAAACTGACATCTTTGCTCTTGAATATTTTTTTTTAAAAAAGGTCTTGTGCAGCAGATTTGCCTAATGCAATATGTCATTTTATTTCTTGATCGCTGATTCCATGAGTGTTGATGGTTGATCGAAAAAGAATAAAGTATTTGACAACTTCAGTCTTTTCTCCTTTTATATTGATGTTGTTTATTGGTCCAGCGGTGAGGATTTTTGTTTTCTTTACATTGAGGTGCAGCCCATGCCAAAGGCTGTGGTCTTTGATCTTCATCAGTAAGTACATTTCAGTCCTCTTCACTTTCCACAAGCAAGGTTATATCATCTGCATATCCAAGGTTGTTAGTGAGTCTTCCTCCAACCCTGATGCCACATTTTTCTTCATAAATCTAGAACACTTAGAAGTGGTTAAAATGGAAAATATTTTGTTATATACATTTTCCACAATAATTTTTTAAAACTATATATACACATTGTGCTGATTTTTAATTCCAAGTGTGGTGCTGTGGGTTAATGCACTGAGCTGCAAAGTTGTTTTGAACCACAAGGTCGACAGTTCAAGCTCACCAGCTGCTCCTCGGATACCCTATACAGGGTCGTTATGGGTCAGAGCTGACTCAATGGCACTTAGCAACAACAACAGTTTGATATCACACTAGAGTTATGTAAAACATACACAGGATGCTTCCACACTAAATTTGCAACTTCTTATAAATTTATAATTATTTTAATTGTTGTTTTTTTTTAAGTTTTAAACAAAAATCAGAAACCCCCAATCTGTCTCCGCCCCACCACCACAGCTGGATTCTCCAGATTATGCTCTAGGGGAAGAATCCAGTCTCCAAGCATTCCCACTCTGTTTTCTGATTTCCTTCCAGTAAAAATGCAACCACATTTCTTCTTAACATTACCTCCTCTCTTATTTTCTTTGTCATTGTGAGTTATAGTTTTTGTATCCCTTTACTGTTATTTCATTGGGGTTTTGCAAGATAGAGGAGATAAACAAGTGTTCTTTATACCTTAACTGGAAATCCATGAATATTTTTAGATTCCTACTTTTTTTTTTTTTTCCTAAAAATAAATGACCTAGAAGACTAGATACAGTTGGGGAGAAAAAATTATAAAACCAAGTGAAACCTGAGCTGATAACATAAGGGAAAGGCTAAAAGAGTAAGAAGAAGATTTGGGTTTCTCTGCCACTTAATAGGTTTGTGAACTTGGATGTGTCTGACTTTCCATTTCTCATCATTAAAGCAGGGAAAATCATACATTCTCCTGATCTACACCCTGCAAAATTTTTCTGAGGGTCAAATGAGATTCTAATTTGGAAATAATTTGCAATATTAGTACAAAATAATCGACCATGCCAAGGACCCGGGAGCGATTAAGAGACCCATCGCCCAGCCAAAGCCCAGTGTCCACAGGCTCTTTTCACTCTACCTTTTACTGCTCATGAACAAGACTCCCTGGATGCCTCATCTTTCCTGTTATCAAGGAACACCACACAAGATGCTCCCAGGGTTGTGGGCACAATGACTCGCAGCTATGATGAACTCAAGGCTTAAATAAGACCCACTCCTAAGTTAGAATTGTGAGATATTAGTGGTGCACTGGTAGAATTCTTGCCTTTCATGTGGGAGACCCAGGTTCAATTCCTAGACAAGTCACCTGATACACAGCCACCATCCATCTACCAGTGGAGGCTTGTGTGTTGTAGGAGGCTGAACAAGGTACAGCAGAACTTCCAGCCAATGAAAAGAAAACCCCACACTTCACAATGGTTAGACCCACAGTTGATTACGGGGATGGAGCAAATCTGGGCAGTGTTTCATACTGTTGCACATGGAGCCAACAGGTGTAGGTCTGACTCAATAGACATTAACAATAGCAATTAGGAAATACTGATATTTCATAAATGGTATGTAATGGCTACGGTTATGTGTCTACTTGACTGGGTCGCTGATTCTTAGTGGTTTGGTAGATAGTATGTAATCATCCTCCTCCATATTGTGATCTGATGTGAGTAGTCAATAAGTTGAAAGGGGAGTTTTCATGAGGGTGTGGCTTGCACCAAATATATATGGATGGTCCTACATCTGATTTAAGGTGCTCTGGTAATGTAGTGGTTATGAATCAGGCTGCAAACCTTAAGGTCAGCAGTTCGAAACTACCAGCTGTTCCATGGGAGAA